AAAAAAGAAAAACTCTCATTCCTAAAGAAACGAACTCCACTGAGAAGTTCGCTCCAATTTTTTCACCAAAGTACGAAGTGATTTCTAATTTATTACCAACTGAAGCAACTCACAGCTCATTAGATTTATTTGAAAAACCTCCTCTACTCGTTACATTTGAAAAATGCATTCACTCAAAAAATTGGTCTATTTTATTCACCTGATAGTCCCATGCTCAAATTTGAAGTTTTAGGAGATAGAAACAACTTTATTGATCTTCAACGAACTCGCTTGGAGATTGTAGCACGCATTGTTCAAAATAATGGTAATGTACCTGCGAACTCACGCCACAGAGGCAGGGCAACGAGACGCACCATATTTGGTTAATAATCCACTTTCATCTTTATTTTCGAATGCACCATGTCCCTGAATGGAGAAAAAATTTCAACAACTAATGCCAATTTTGCCCATAAGAGTTTCATTGAGACAGAATTTTCTCACGGTAATGATTCAAAGAAAACGTGGCTTGCTTGTCAAGGCTATTATTATGAAGATAATCCATCAGGTATTGATGGTGCTAATGGGCAAGCTGAAGGTGTCGCTGAACGTATGCGAATCGTAGCAGCATCAAGCGAATTACGATTATTTGGTAAAACTGCCTGTTATTTTTTATCATGCGACAAACATCTTATCAGCGGTGTTACAATAAGACTTTCTCTGAGACGATCTCCTAATGACTTTGTTATTATGTCTGAGCACGCTAATAAACGTTACCAAGTCCAAATCACTGAGGCTAACCTAGATGTGCGCAAAATGACAGTAACAGATTTTGTACTATCATCGATAGAAAAAACTCTGTTGAAAACACCTGCAATATACAATTATATTGAAGTTTTACCAAGAACCTTTTTGGCCACAACTGGTGTGCAAAGTTGGCGACAAGAAGACGTTTTTGCCAAAGAGCCAGTTCGTCGAATGATTTTGGCAATGAGCTCGAATACAGCATACCTGGGTACTAACCGAACAAACCCGTTTCATTATCAAAAGTTTCAGCTGAATGAAATCATTGTTTACCGAAACGGCCTACCCATTGCAGGAACTCCTGTGTCAACGACTGATAACAAAA